AGATGAGAAGTAAAAATATTAAGAACCACAAAGAAACCAATTAAAATTAAAAACTCCTTGAACAAGGACAAATATTCTCCATAAAAATCTGGATCCCCAGTGTACAATGAGTGAACAAATCTGTAACAATACTCAAAGAGGGCTTACCTAAACGTACAAACAACCACAAGTAAGAAATTGTATTAAATTAACACTTTACCTATCCTATTATTTAACTACAGATCATAGAATAATGGTAAGCTTAAAAACAAAAATTTGAATGATGGCGGCAAGAGAAGAGGCTCAGCCAAATATAACCTATCTATTGCAATCTTCTTGTCCCGACTTAGTTACGACGACGGCGTTCTTCTACAAATAAATCATAAAAAACAAAAATAATATACAAAAACTAAGTTTTATCACAATAATTGTGAAGAAGGACACAATTGAAATGTAAAGGAAATGATCTCGCATGCACTGTCCCTATATTATAGTTTCAGTGATTTATTATGAAATTACGCATTTCTCAATTATCAGAAATAAATATGATTTTTAGACATAGGTAGTTTATAAAAAAAAAATTATGTACATTTAATGAGATTTTGTGTCTGTTTGTTTAATTTTGTTACTACCAAGAACTTTGGAAATGCAAAGAGATGAGATTACACATTTGACTTACTCAAACCCTGTAGGTTACCTTTTAAATCACAAATCAGTTTTGGAAACATTTAAAAATAACTTGATTTCAATTTTCTTTTGATAACTGGTGGAATTAGTTATTGGCATTTCAATTCCTTATAAATTCATGAAAACTTTATGTTTGTTCTCAACACAACTATGCGGAACTCAGTCAAAAGGAAAATAAGTAAAAGTTTAGTATATTTCAGTTTCAGATCACTAACGTTAACATGACTAACAATCTAGGTAAGGTCTGGACAGGGAACGGATCAGTAAAAAGACGCAGCAAACATCTCATCTATTTAAAACTTTGTGCAAATTATACACATTTTTCAATACTTGTATACATATCATCCAAGCCATTGAGATCCAAGCTTACAATAATATTCAAATATTCACTCGATAATCTACTCTTCACAACCTCTTATCTATTATAGAGACAGTGTATGGCGAGAACTTAAAAAATATATCGAAATCAATTCTGTATGTTTTAGTTTTTGAAAAGAAACAATGCTTAATCCAGTCAGAAAATGCTTACGGATTAAAATTAACGCTACACATAAATAATTATTGCCACTTAAGAATATGAAGGCGACTAATTTGAAAATATAGCTATTATTAAATTTATAACTGGACTAATAGGAGCCCTAAAATCAGATGCACTAACAATATCGAGTGGTAGGTTGACGGCAGATCTAAGTATTCATCATTAAATGACAACCTGAAATCAGCAACATTTCAGTACTACAACTTATTATTCATTTTTAAGAAATTTTGCCCAAAAATTAAGGTTTCAAACAAGCCGACACAACGAACTAAAAAATAAATACCATACAATAAATATAACTATTTATAAATATTTATAAATCCTTTTGATATAGGGATGGGAGTTTGACCCCTAAACTCTTTTCTACTACACTGCTGTCCTCTTTTCAAATGTTGCAGTAATCAAGACAAAGTGACACCAATTCCCTCCTCAATTCAATGCTCTGAATTGTAATAGCCGATAAATATGGATGAGATAATTGATTGGGTTTGGTGATTACAATTTAGAAACATTAAGGTGATAACAATCCCTGTTAAAACATTGCCACTTGAGAGAAGATTGTTGAGAAAATTGATATATTTTGGAGAGATTGAGGCTATGGATCAGAATGTTTTAAGCAGGGTTTTCCTAGGCTAGGAAGCGGAGTGCAGAGAGGGCGTCCGCTCTCCTCCTGTCTTAGATAATTTAATGGTACAGTAGACTCCCTCTTATACGGACACCTTTTAATCGGAGATCGGTTTAACCTTTGAGGTCAAATTTTTTCCCCATTTTTCACCGAGTATAGTTTGCCATTAGAACAGTCGAGAAAATGGCACCCGGTGACCTATACATGCCATTCAACTGCAAAAATAAACTTTTTTGAATTTTTTTTTATAGGTCGCCATTTTTGAGCAGTCGGGAAAATGGCGGGCGGCGACCTGTACTCGCCATTCGACCGCAAAGGGTTAATCGGACTAGACTCGGCGGAAATGACATCGCTTTAACCGGACAATTTTTATCAGCACCATCGGTTTAACCGGACTAGATCGGCAGGAAGTGGGCGGTACTGAAACGACTGTTCTCGTAGGAAAGATTTGAGACCAGTGATCACGTGTCTAAATACAATGCTCTCCTAAATTTAAGTCAAATACTGTATGCATTCAAACGGTCCGTTTTAACGAGTTTTTGGTGGCGTCGGTTTAACTGGAAAAACCATTATTCGGACTGGCCTCGGTCCTGAGGAGTCCGGATAAGAGGGAGTCTACTGTACTGTTTTCCTAGAAGCGGAGCGTATCGCAACTGGAAGAGCGGAAAACCACTCCTCCGAACTCCACGTTTTGTGCGGCATTCCGTGTAAGAAAACAAAGGGTTCAGGATTCAAAAATTGTATTGTCGTTAGGCATACAAAATGATGCGTTTGACATCGTCAGATATTTACCATTTTCCGAAATCGCAGGAGGCGATTGCTATGTCCACACAACCGCAGGGGACGATATAATCATGTCTTCACAACTGCGAGGGGTGATCAGAATTTGACAGCTATCGCGCAAGACGATGATGATAATGTCCACACGATCGTGGGAAAAGATCAGAATGTTGCCTCTTTTGTGGTTGCAGTAGACGATGATAATCTCCTTACGACCGCGGGATATGTTAATATATTTCTGCTATAATTGAAGATGATAATTATATCTACACGACTGCAGAAAATAGTCAGAATTTTGCCACAATCGTGGGATGTCTACACAGCCGCGAAGGATTATCAGAAGTTTAACGCGATTGTATGCAAATAGAACCACCAATAATTTTATTTTCCAATTTTTTGGCGCCCCCAAAATAACCAATTGCATCGCGCCCTAGGCACGTGCCTACCGTGCCTATTCGGTAAATCGGCCCTGCACACATTCGTCAACCAGCTACGGGCTTAATTAGGGGTTAATCTCTAAAATAACAGAAATAGAATCACAGAATGCTACTCATACTCTGTGGCAGCATTGATTTTCTTCTTTAAAAGTAGAGACATCCTACTCCGATGTAAACTGTAGCCATTATTAAAATGGGAATAGATGTAATTGAATTGAACCTCTGACTAAGATGTTGCTATCAATCACTCACTTCTGTCAATTATGGAAAGGATAACTTTTTGTAAACTATAGCGTCTCATGTCTGATCCATACATAGTACCAAGCAAAAAAGGAAATATCTAAATTTTGAAAACAGCATACTCGGTGATTTCATTCATGTTATACTGTTTGAATTAAAAATTGACTCCTGCTGGTCCATATTAGATGGGATGTCTACTTTGAAGTACTAAGCAAAATGATAATTACGTTTTTAAGGCCTCAAACCACCCTCTTCAACACATGAGCTTAGATGTTGTTAGAGTTTAGCTTGAGAAGGTAAAAATTACGTTAGACTAATTTTAATTATCTCCTGTGATCTTTTTCTACAATTACAGCTTGAAAATCTGCGATTACAGGGACACCGCGTTTGTCTCCCTCAAGCACTGAACTCATACGTTATCAAAGCGAAATTATGAACATTTGTGATCACAGAGACATTATCAACATCAACATTGTCTCCAGCGATAACTGAGAAATCCTGGACATCTTTAGGGATCACGGTGAAATCCTCTCATCAAAGGGCTTGGGGTTTGACCCCTACAACCCTTTTCTACTACATTACTGTCCTCTGTTCAAATGTTCATCGAGTTATCAACAAAGCATTTTAATTGTTGGGAACGTATCTTATTAAAAACCCATAAGGCTTATTTATGAAATATCTTATTTGTAATTACAAAACAGAAATCATGAGCTGTGGTAAAATTTAGAGATAAATTACTTTATGTGTTGTTACATTTATTAGTCCACTCCAATACGAGGAAAGCAAGCGTACATGTCAGACTAATACCTCTAGGGATGGCTGATTCATTTACCATTTAGGCTGGAGTCATTATGTCCTGCGGATTCAATTGCTGTGGTCAGAGCAGCCTGTTGACTCATCCCGTAGACTCGACCTTGGGTTTGGGGGAGGAGACGGACCGGCGGCTCGAGGCCTGGAATCAACCTCTATATCAGTATAGGGTCGAGGGAGTCTGAATGATAAACTCGATGGAAACCAATACTATAGAGGTCCTTCCATGTACCTAAAACTAACAATGTATGTTGACAGTAAACCACACCAGTTGCTGTACAGGACAAATAATATAATTATTCCAACAGAAAAAATAATAAGTGGACCACAACACAGTGGAATGGAAAATGATACGTTATAAACCTGTGGAAACGGTCCAAGGCTGTTAATAGCTCAAAGTTTCATTCACTTTCCTCTAACAGGATTCTTAAGCGGAAATTATGTCTGGGACGACGGAAAAAAGTGTTGCATTATAAACACTAAGAAGGGTAGTAGTTTTTTTTTTTAAATTTATAATGTTTTTTTTAGCCTATTAACAACCTGGGACATCTACAGTGAAACCTCGCCAACTCGACAATGTGTAGGACCCAGAGGTTGTCGAGTTAAGCCGGGTTTTCCTAGGCGCGGAGTCGGCGAGTGGAGAGAGGAACGCGGAAAACTCCACTTGTCTTAGGCAATTTAATGTTACTGTTTTCCTAGAAGCGGAGCGGAATGCCATGTTAATTTCAATTCCGCTCTCCGCGTTCCCTCTCTCCGCTCGCCGACTCCGTGCCTAGGAAAACCCGGCTTTAACCAGAATATTGCAGTTTTCAATGGGTTTGGAAAGGAGTGTATAACAAACTAATTTTTACATAAACATTTATTAATTACATGAATATTTTAGCATACTAAGCAAACCATGTTCAAAGAAATGTTGAATATTGAACAATTAAAACCAAATGTTCTGAAAAAATTTCTTTTGCGAGTGTCTTTTCAGTTGTTGACTGTCGAGTTAGTGATGTTTTACTGTAAAAATAATTTTAAAAATAGTTAGATTAAAACAAATAAAAAAATAAAGATAAAATTAACTAAAAAATAAAATAAAAAAAATAAATAAAATAAAATACACTACCGACTAGAAGGGAGGATTGTTTGGACGTTTGAGCAGCTTTTTGAATCGGGGAGGGATTCTATCCATGTACTTGAATCTAAACCTATTAAAACAACCCAACAATGTGATATAATATAAATTTCCACAGAACATTTTTAAACTAAATAGAAACAAAAATAAAAGTAAAATTGGAATGATTGTATGAAAAGGATGAAATGTATTTTAATTTAATTATTTATTTTGCAGTTTTTTTTATTTATCATTTAACAGTAGTCACAATTGGAAATAAACACAATAGAATAATTATATATCATTTAATTAACAGGGGTTTAAAAACAAGTGCAAACATATGACTTACCACAAATTCAGAAATATGTTATTGCTTTAATAAGAGTATGAAATTTCCCCTACCAAATTTACAACCAAGCACATTTAAATTGTGCTAGTAATTCAGTTAATTAGTGTTTTTACCAGGAAAGTTTTGGGGTAGTTTTGATTTTTTTCATTTCTTATGTATTTTGGGGTGCTGAATCCGAATCTGAGGTTTGCCAACAAAAATTCTTGATGCAACATGACAAAAATGAGAAAAATATGTAAAAAAATTATATTTTTTGTAATATTTGGCTTATAACTCAGAAACCATCAACTTTACGTAAATAGTCTATGTTTTGAAAATTAAAGTACACAAAATTTGCTACAAAATGTACCCCTAATGTGGTAATTTCCGATGAAACGTTTAGGCTCCAGAGCTATTTGAAAATTGGAACATTTTGTGTTAGTTTTTAAATTTCTCAAATTATTCTGTCGATGACATATATTCATTGTATATGCCCAAGCAAAGGTCTGATATAAATCCGAAGTGTTAAAATTGATCAATTTTTGTGTTACAGAACCGCTGATATTTTATTTAGTGTACAGAAAAGTTACACGAACTGTTGCCGTTTAAATTATCCTCGCTCAGAGGGTTGTAATCAGGCAGGTTCTGCAAACGTTTCGATGCATCATTTGTGAGCGTTCTAGCTTGTTCATCTGGTCAATAAAAAAAGGTTAAAAGTAAAAAAAAAATTATCTACACATAATAATAAGTAATATCAAAATTAAAATAACAGCAATCAGTTAATCATGTAATATACGTATGCACCTGATGACGTGATATTAAGATATACGTAAATAATATTAAAATGTTATATAGGCATATACTGTTGCTAAGCATTTACATTGTGTGTAGATTTAACAAGTTAATAAATAAAGGAATGTGCGTTTGGTACTATACTTACTTTCAAGAATTTTTGTTGGCAAACCTCAAATTCGGATTCAGCACCCCAAAATACATAAGAAATGGAAAAAATCAAAACTACCCCAAAACTTTCTCGCTATGAGTAAATTTAAATACAAATTTACTGGATTATAGAAAAATTTTGGAACTGTGTAAATACAAAAAAAATATCTCACATCCTAAAGCTTTCTGCAGTGCTCCTGTCTAAGAATATAATTGTTCAAATTCTCATTACTCTAATATCGAATCAATATTTTCTATTCCATAACAGGAACACAGTTAAAATGTGTCATTTATAAGTAATATCAATCGGAAATTAGCAAAAGGTAAATTTTGAACTTTATTGTTGTAAGAATTAGTGGTACATAAGCTTGAAGTTTTGTTAAGGAAACTTGTTCTAAAAATGTCCTGGCCTTAATCTTAATATGTAAACAATATAACAAAAAAATATATAAAATGAATCAATAATAAAATAAATAATACCTTGAATGAATTTGGATTTTTTTTATATAAAAATAGGTTGGCGGCCTCTTTTAACCTTGCATTTGCCCGTCCACATAGACTAAGTGCCTGTGCGTGGATCGTTTGCAGCAAAGCAAGGAGTGAGCCGGTACAGTACAAAAGGTGAACTGTACTGATAAAATGTTATCGGCAGTGACCAGGATCCGAACCCACGACATCGCTGCCTTGGGCCCGAAGTCCGCGACGCTACCGACTGAGCCACCGACTCACTTTGTAAATAAATAATACCCGAATGAAATGAATGGGAAAATTCCAAAGGGGCACAAGAAACACAACATTTTACACTATACACAAAATATTAGTACATTTTCACTGTGGCACACAGCATTTTTAACTAAGGAGGATATGAGGCTGAATGAAAGAGTCCAACCTGGCACAAGGGATACAATCTCTATGTTTTGTGTGTATATATAGTGTAAAGTTTAAAGTTTTGTGTATCTTGTGCCATTTTAGACTCAATTCCCATTTAGGTAAGCCTGCTATTTTAAGAAAATCCTAAAAACCTGGGCCCTTGTGCTCTATGTTACATTCTTAAGGAGGGTGTGAGTGCAAGATAAGGATCAATTTACATTAGATTAGTCAGCTGTAAGATTTATTCAGACTGAAAAAGTAATTTCTGGTGGTTTTGCTATTTGTTTTCACAACTACTACACCCATCGATCTCTATTAATACAACCGGTGTATTAATAGGGATCGATGAGTACACTATACTTGTCTGGCAATCATATGAAGACGGTTTATGTTTCCGTGCTTGGATGCTCTGTTCATAGGATGCACTTTAACTAGGTTGATACGATGACAGCAAAGTATTTTTTATTATTATAGTTAATCAGGGAGGCTACCCAGTGTTTAAGGATAGTTTTGTATTATATTCCAACAGAGGAAACCTCTGTTCATGTTGTAACTGTCAAGTTTGGCATTAAGGTGAAGTAGAACCATAAACAGGTTAAAGTGAATCTGTTCCAGTGTATTTACTCACCTGCCACGCCGTAAGGGGGTAAACGTCGGGACTGACGGTGGGAGTCGGTTGGCTGTCGGAGCGCTTTGAAACGCCCGACTGTTCATCAGAAGATAATCCCCAGCTGGAAAAACAAAACACCGATAAGTTACGTCAATAACTCGTTGTACAACAAAATAAAAAAGCTTTTTTAAACACACAAATTGTTTTTTCATACAGTCAACGGACAAAGTGGACTTCCTTGCACTGGTTATTGTACAGAAAGTTGCTAATTGCTGCATTTACTTACTTTGCCACACTCTTTTGTTTTTTTTTTTGCCCCACACCAATTGGAATACCAACCAAACAACACAAAACAGTGTGCTTTTATTATGCACGTAATCTATGTACGCTTGGAAATAGGTTGGTAACACTTAGACTATGAAAAACTGTAGCAGTGTTTCCCATTACGTTCAACATTTGGATTTAACCTGACCTAAAACGTGTTGTATAGTGTTTAAAAGATTAACTATTTCTATGCTTTATAATAACTGGGGGGAAAATATAATGTGTAACACGAGGTCAAATTGCCTTTGCTGCACTCGAGAAACTTTGCCCACTAGTTACACAAATACCTATTGTCTACAGTTGTTATACAATGTGGCAATTTGTTCACTTGAATTAGTTTGCAAAACAGCTGATTTATCAACATTTTTTCTTTGCTAACTACTTTTCCTCACTCCGGAAGACAACTGAGCTAAACATAATTTAGGCTATGATGATTTTGAATTTTAGTTTACACATTTTAGTTTAAAAACAAATAAATTATTGATGAAAATGGTAAACAGTATAGTGAACATAGAGTGTTTTTTTCATTAGTTAAGTTTTCAAGTCAGCAATGACACTGTTTATGCATCTTGGTCACAATCCTAACCTCAATGTTTGTTGTGTAATAATTTTTTAGCTGTCACATGCCAACAAACTGTAGACAAAATATAATGTACAATTCTTGTTCAAAATGTATTTTTTAAACTCAATAAAAATTAACCCACTCAGAAAGACTCGTGCATCAAGATTTTTCTTTTGTTTGAAAACATGACACTATGTTCACTAGTTGCACAAATAACTGTTCGTTAAAAGTACACACAACTGTTTTTGCTAATCGTGTAGAGAGTCCTGAAATTCAAACTGACAGCAAGACCTCGTTGAAACTTACGCGGATAGTTAAGCCGGTAAATGACCGGGCCAACTGCACTGCTCTGTGGCATTGTTGTGGCGTAATTGTTGTGCCGCGGCGGTTCGGGCGGTGCGGGGTCTCGGACCACAGGCGAACGAGTTGTGGTGGTGTTGTAGTTTACGGGACGAATCGCCCTCAGTGGGGGGCTGTTAGCCATGTTCAGCTGGAAAAATACCTTTCTGTGAGATTCAAACAGATTAAACAGTGACTATTATATTTATAGAGCCAATAACATCAATCAATCATAGAACTCATTACCAATGTATTGTTATTACACGTTACATTGCATAAATCGTTTCACTCTAAGTAACAATTATAATTATACTAAGCAACAAGGCATGGGCTAGCATTAAAGGAATTGTGAAAATAATTAAATTTTCAACATGTATCTGTGAATTTTCATAAATACAGCTTTCAGATCTAAAAATATTTCAATAAAAAAAAAGAAAATTTTCCCCAGGATTTAGGATTGTTTTAATTAATGACAGAATGACAGTGAAGTAGAAATTACCTGCATCGCTGGTCTCATCATAGCCGGGGCCATCATCTGGGGCTGGTAGAGCACGGAGGCGTAGTTGTTCATTGGGTACGGAGAGCAAACATTCTGAACAGACACATTCAGTGGTCAGTAAAGTGGACTAGAGGGAGAGTAATTTAAGATATTGGGAAAGAAGAACGGAGATAAATGTTGTGGAATGGGTTAGTGAGGGAAGAGTAAATGTCATAGTCATAGCATTAAAATACTGGTACATTCCTTAGCCTACATTTCAATAGATGCCAAGAATAAAATATAGAGAAATTGTTTTAAAGTTTAAAATAAAACTTGCTCTTTCAAATATTAGAGTTTTTAAATAAAGCTATATTATCATTAAATTCTACAGACTGCTCGCGCCGACGTCGGCGTCAGTCAGCGTCACTAGCCCTTCCAGGTGGTGACGCCGATAATTGTCGGCGGCCGACCACCTGAAATACATTGAGTCAGTAGTAGCTCAGCCATTGCCGGGAAAATTTGTAATTGTTGCCAGCCTGTAGCTTAGAATGTGAACTTTATTTTGGTGTAGGTTGGTACTAAAATTTCCTGTAAAATCCCGTCTGGCAATGCTTTTGCCCCGGTTTCAGTGAACTACATCCACTCTCGGGGTAACGCAGCACAATCAACACTGCTCTTTTGTGATTGGTCAGTTAGAAATATTTGAATTTGTGTTAAAAACAAACTTAAGAAATTTCTCATTATCAGGGCTATTTATTCATTTGATGAACTGTAATTGACTTCTATTTCCCTCCTAATCAAAGTATGTTTTAACTTTGTTATATAAACAAATTATATAAATTTTCTGTTGATTCTTTGTTCTTTTACAATTTCTCTCTTATTTACTATGAGCAAGCATGATTTTATTATAACTTTATCATCAAAAAATGTGACACTATTCATGTATATATTCCTAATGTACTTGATGAATAAAGATAATTTGAATGAATGATAATCTGTATTTAATTAAATGCCAATGCGTTCGCTGATTCGGTTGCGCGCCGGAGCTTCGCCCCCATTGGTGAGCGTTCGTTTATAGGTTGTCAGCACTGAATGTGTTAAAAAAACCTTGTCTACTTCTGAATAAGTTTGGTAATTATTTTTGTTGTCAATCTGGAATTTGCATCTGTTTGGGTAGACGAGGAGCGAGGCGATGGATGTGCATAGTAGAGCGGCAATAGTAGTGAGTCAAGAAGCTGGATTACTGTAATTTTGAATGTACATAAAATCTAATTTATCCTATTAATGAGGATGAAATGTTTTAATTTGGTAAAGAATTAAATTAATGGAGAAAATAGTAAATTACAGCCAAGTAGTAATTTATAAGGTCATAAAACTGATAAAAATAATAAAATTTGCTTAATATTTCTAGAAACTTCTAATAGTTGTGTATAGTAGTAAAAACTATTTACAGGATCAATTCTATGTTTTAAATGAGTAAATTAAGGGAAGACTGTACTTTTTGTCAAGAATAATTACACTTTAGTCACTTAACTTGTATTGTAATACAATTAGTCCTAATCTCAAATAGGACTGCTTCCAGGAACTGATAAAATAAACCAAATTTTAAACTGTGTATGTTGTTGGTTTTATTACTGAGGCTCAGCCTTCAAGGTAAAGAAATCGGGGTAGAATATCCGAACGTTGAGGCCAGTGTGTTGCTGAGGGTAATATGTACGCCCTCCGCTCTTCTACGTTTTGGCGCATCTTCGTACATCTTATTTTATACCCGCTCAGCTACGCTCTAGCCTCGCCGCTTCGCTTTCACCCTTTGGGACCTTTCCTTTTTTCAGGATTTCATCTTCAAAATCTTTTTTTTTATGTTATATTTAATCTTGTACGTCATATCTTCATAAAACCTGATCCCAAAAATACTGACTCTGGAATACATGGACCAATAAAAAGGAATACATATCAATATATTTTTAAAGCATCTCGATGGTTTTGCATCTTGAATGTCTGAGATATATGCTGAATATCTTTAGTCTTTGTCATAGGGTGGTCGAGTCATCACCCGTTATTGTATTTGGATGGGTGTCTGGACTCTAATTATTTTGTTTGGGGGTTGGCCTCACTTTGTTTTTAATACGCATGTCTATAAAAATAAATGTCTTTAGAAATTGATTGAAATGTTTCTTTTTATAACATGCCCAGAGAAGTAAGAAACAACAGAAACAGTCAAGTGTACACATAAGTAAGTGGTGTCTAGCATTAGTGATGGTGTCTAGGACAAAGTCCCCGGTGGAGAAAGACTCTGTGCAATAGGAATTTCGACACAGTGCTCACTGCTCAGGCACTTCCTCGTCAAAAGTATATTTCCCGCACAACATACTAGAGCTGAAAGGTCACGATCCTCCCAGGGGTTTTCACGGTACCTTGCTTATCAGTGCAGCATGCGACTTTGACTATTAATGATAATGTTACCGGTTTTGTTTAGTACTGCAAAAACAGTTAAAACCAGTACAAGACATAGTTGTTACCTGTGTTGTGTTAGGCGGAGTGGGCAAGCGGTGGTAAGGACGAGCTGCTTGTGTGTGTACCGGAGGATACATCAATCCCATGGACGCTGTGGCAGTCGGGACAAAGTACCCAGAACTCGGCGGCTGGGCTCTAAACATCAATCATATCAGCGATGTAATAAACAATAGTCTTCACAAACACTTGTACATAGTAACATTTAGTTTGTAAGTGGGTACTCTGAAGATGCTACATTCGGGCAAAATGTGCATCAGTTACACAAATTATCACAGGGTGTCTACTAGTTGATTAAACTGAATTCCAGTGACTTAAGGGGGGGACGACGCTAACGACTAAAACAACCTTTGGTATCCATAAGACAACAATTTTCAGTGACTTGAACATGATATAGTCAGACATTCAATATTTTGTGCAGTAACGATTTGAGCTGGTTGTCTGCTCCCAAAATATGTTTGCTTTGAATTTTCACGAATTTTCATTGCCTGAGCAAAGTGCAAAACAAAAGACAAGTCTAGGGAACTTTATTTTAGCTAGGCCCAATTTTTCCTGGGACTTTTTTTGGGGGGATCCATTACTTTTCAGTGACTTCCCTGACCGGTAGACACCCTGTTACATCAAGAACAAAATGCAACCGACAAGAAAAGGTAGCTTAATGTTATAACAAGTTCTTGAAACTGAGTAACACTATACAGGGTGTTTTTTTTTTAAACTTGCATCTTTATTTATGTAAAAACCGCAATAGATAGAAATATGCAGTTTGCGGGAATCATCTATTGACGTAGGGGGCCCAATTGTTTTGAATTCAACGTTACATTCACATTCCCCCCTTCCCCCCCTGCCGCCAACTTAATTTTTTTAAATAGCAAAGTACCCCTTGTGACATATCAAATAAAAGAGCATGAAAAAAGAAAATGTTTGATGAAAAAAATTGAAAATCGGTTCATAAATTTGTTAGATAATCACCCCCTCCCCCCCCGGAACTTATTTTTTTTTAATAGCAAGGTACCCCTTGTGACATATCAAATGAAAGAGCATAAAAAAAGAAAATTTTTTGTGAAAAAAAATTTAAAATCGGCTCATGAATTTGTGAGATAATCACCCCCCTTTTCCCCTACCCATAACTTGTTTTTTAATAGCAAGGTACCCGCCCTTGTGACATATCAAATGAAAAATAAATTTCACCAAACATTTTCTTTTTTCATGCTCTTTCATTTGATATGTCACAAGGGGTACCTTGGTATTTAAAAAAATTAAGTTGGGGGCAGGGGGGAAAGGGGGGAAATGTTAATGTAACGTTGAATTCAAAACAATTGGGCCCCCTACGTCAATAGATGATTCCTGCAAACTGCATATTTCTATCTATTGCGTTTTACATAAATAAAGATGCAAGTTTAAAAAAAAACACCCTGTATATATTATAGACAGGGTTTTATCTGTGTAGATGAATAACTACATTGCAAAATAAATTATGTGTTAGTGTAAATAATATTTAACTATTAGTTACTTCAAGCATACAGTTTAAACCAGCCACATCTGCACTTATAGGTATTTCTGATAAAGGGCTTTGGTTGGAATTCTTTATATATTTATATAAATATATTTCTATTATTCTTTATATAAATATATTTTTAAGCGATCAAGCAAGTCTATTTATTTGTTTGCTCAATCCAAAAAATAAATAAAAGAAACATCTTATAACACTTAAAACATATATTTATACTTATAGTGTTAAGCACAAGACGGTAAATATACATAAATGATGGTAGGTGGTGATCAATTTCGATTGAACACTCCAATCATCATCAGACCCAATAGGTGAATTAATGAACATCCTGAATGAACATCATGAATGAACCTAGTGATATTGGGTCTAATAATGATTAGAGTGTAAACCCAAACCCCAAGGGGGTGTGTATGTTTGCAAAACCCTAATATATTATCAGCAAAACACTTAAGACGATATGTGAGTTGGAAGACTTACGAGGGGCAGCGAGCGTAGTAGCCGTGAACTCCTGGCGGCTGATAGGTGCACTCAGGAGCAGCTGAAACTACAAATATACCTTCTATTTTAAAGTAAAAACAAGTGGTTTTAAGATTAGATATTACTATAGCTTACCTGAAAAAAAATTGAATCTAAAGACTAATAGAAACATATTAAAAATGTCAACAAACAAAATAATGATATTTCGCTCTAATGTAATCCTTCTTCAGAGAGTGGGTTGACAAGAAATAAACGAAATTATATTAGAACGAACCTTAAGTCGAAATATCAGTGTTATGTTTTGTGTTATTTTATTAAGTATCTATTAACCTCTGGACTCTTAATTTTCTCAGGTAAGTTAGCTGAACTCTATTCTTTGAAAAAATTCCCAAATTTAGGACTCTGAAAACCTTTTACTTATAATCCAAAGGAAGAAGGACTAATTGATATTTCCTTCTTCTTTTGAGACATACTTAATCATGAAAAATATACAAGCACAGTCTATGGAAAGATTAACGCAATTAGAGGATTAAATAATTTTACACCTCCAAAAAATATTACTTTATAATGAACAAGCCTTGTCTGGAAAATAACTAACAAAGTTTGAATATTAAATGGTGAAACCTTTTATTCTGTTAAAAAAAATACTTCATCAGGAACAATTTTGAAGCATTGTCTGTAAAATAATTAAACTGTTGTTTTTGAATATTAAATAATTTTATGAAAACGAATGAAGAGTCCAAGTGGAAGAGAGTTCCTCGATTAATTGCAACATAAATTCTAATTTTTTAAATATCGCTTTACAAACATTTTGAATGTTATGGGAATTTGAATTTACGAGCACTATCGATAAAAGTCGCTACTATACCTGATCGGTCTGGCTGTTGTGGATATTGGTACGAGCAAGTGGCTGGGTGACGAGGCTGAGTTGGAGGCACCACATGGTTCGGAGGGGAGAAATATACCGTTGGCAGAGTAGGGGCAGCAGTAGCACCCTAACAAAAGAATCATTGTGAATGATTGGAAATCACCAATGGATTTTATCTAAATGATAACTCCGCAATTCCTAGGTTTAGCCTGAATTAATGTGAAAAACGATCACAGGCTTAAGTCTAGCATCTTAGGAAAAAAGTTCAGGAAGGCAATGTGCATTTTTTTAAACAATAAGCCTTATAAAAGGGTTGTCTACGACACTTCTTACACGAGCAACAAATATTATTTCCTATACTTTTTTTGTAAGTAAAAACACAATCCATATACTTATCACAATTCACAACAACATTAAATATGCACCATTTTAAAACAATATTTTAACAGAACTTTCAACTTTTTACTCACAGGAAGAGGAAACGTTTTAAAACCTTTCAAATATTTATTGTAAAAGGGGGATGTGCATGACCAAACTTATTTACTGTTTATTGTGAAGCTAAATTAAGAGCCTAAGAAACTCCACGCCTTTCAAAATACCTCCACCGCAGCAAACCTGCAGACTAAGCGAGTTTCCATTCGCCTGAATTGATTTTCAATTAAATCGATTTAAATAACATTAGGTTTAAGGAGTACCTAGGTTTGCTGCTACAGGGAAACTGATAAAGAGTGTTTTTTAGTAAAATATTAATAGCTTAGTATAAAAGTGTTTTTCCAGTGAAACGTTAATAGTTTAGTATGAAATAAATTAAATTTGTCAGGTGTTATCCAAATATTTTTGTATTCAAGCAAACAAAAACAGCTAACATTATTTACATAATGCGCAAGTCCATCAAGATTAGTTATAATTAAAGTTTTCACGATGTTTCGGGATCTGAAATCAGATCCTGTCCTCATAAACACAACAAAAAAATTATCATTGACAGGTTGTCTGTTCATTACATGCCCGTCTCAGAAGCCCAGTGTTAGTGTATTCTAAAGTGGGGTCTCACAGGCCGAGGGTTTCGGTTTGTGTGTTTCTAAGCGGGGTCCATTATTTTTAAATGTCGTCTCACAGACCGGGGGTTTCGGTTTTGTCAGCCTAGGTAGGGTTTCGGTATTAGTGTTAAGTACTTGCATATCTCAGTACCGGTAACCGAATGACGAAGTATAATTGTGAAATTCAATTAATTGTTTGTTATTATATTTATTCTACACTTTTACCTGTGAGTATTGAGGCTGGCAGTAGACGAGTTGACGATGTTGAGGCTCCGTTCTATTATATTCTCCGTGGCACATACTCGCCAAATAATTGCACAGCTGCTCCTGCTCCTGTTAACACGGACAACCTTTGTAGACAATAGACAATAGACAAAGCGCTTGTACATAACGCCTGAATGCAATAATTACAAAGGTAATTCCCAAGCCGGTACATTGTCATTTCATATCTAGGTTCCTTAATCTTAAATTATCCCCTAACAAGAGTAAAGCCATTAAAATAAATCTTTTAAAAAGTATCAATTTTACAATAAGTTTTTGGCTCAAAGTCTCTTTCAGCTTGTAAAATTTGATTTTCATAGAGTTCTGTATGAATTAGGTAATTGATTGAAGATTTTTAATCCCATGTAAAATGGTCCAGTTTCAAATTTTGTGCACCCTTTTTTTAGTCATTTATAAGGAAAATTTATTTTTGTGTTAGGGTTAATATTGCTTACACCTTCTTCAAAAATTAGTTTAAAAAGGTTGTTAAAGGTAGGTTGTTTGACACAATCTACTTTCTATTTTTAGTAATAAATTTGTGTAGAAAATATTAAAACTAGCAACAATATTATTATGGGAGGAAATAAGTAAAGATAATGTCAAAAGTCAATAAGCATGTTGCGTAGGAAGAGATAAGGGAAAGGCTCCCTACAGAACTGAGATTCACATCACCAGACGCTAGTGGTGTTAAGGTAATCCAACAGCAATACATTGTTGACATGATGGTACAAAATAAAAATGTAATAGTGGCGGAGGAAGGATTCTTGTGCGTATGCACATCTCGCTGGTCACTCTAATCTACATGATCTACAACTATGAATAACATAAGGGAATAACTATTTAGCCATCCTTGAAAATAACTATAAGGAAATTCATGAATCTTTTCATCAGAAATTTAAAAACTCGGTTTGGTGCCAACCTAACGTAAGCAGTAAAGTCTTAAACTTTGTGAAATTTTGATCTATGTAAAATAAATTTTTGTAAACTTAATAAGGTTTTTAGAAAACCCAACTTTCTTTTCTTAATTTCTATTAAGCTGTGTGATACAGTTGAACTTCCGTGTTATCTGAATCTCCCTGTAGACAATCAAGTACCTTGTAATCGCGAGCTATTTACATTTTGATAATGATATTATGAACTTTATCAACACCAGCACCAATATTCATGTCGAACAACAAAGGGTAAAACGGGGGATGGTTTGTTGCGAAAAAAAAACTACCGTAGCAGGGTCTGTTGGTCTAAAAAAATCCTATCGTGAAGGGTTAATTAGGATTATCGAGACTCTATTGTTTACCAGTGTGTTGAGCTGTGGGGCAGGAGCAGTCATTGGCGTTGTAGTATATTGCACGTTGTTGTACGGAACCGAATATATCAGTGGTTGGCCACTGTTAGTCGGAGGTGGGTAGCTCTCCGCCGGAGGGTTATACATTATGGACGTAGGTACTGGCGGAGGCATGTGCTGATAAACAGGAGCCAAGGGTACATTCGTAGCACCAGTAGTATCTAAACCTGTAACTGAAAAAGTATTCTAATTATAGATTGAAATGAAAGACTTTTATTACTAGCTTTATTAGTAAATCAATGTGTTTCAAAGAACATAAAATGAGAAGTTAGAATCACTTAAGTATCTGCTTTTCTTAATCATTCAATTCATGGACATAACTACACAAATATTGGCAATTTAACTATTTTTGGAGGGAACTTCTTTAAAAGATACAGTAGACTCCCTCTTATCCCGACACCTTTTAACCGGACATCGGTTTAACCGGACTACACTCGGCGGAAATGACATCTCTTTAACCGGACAATTTTTATCAGCACATTAGTTTAACCGGACTAGATCGGCAGGAAGTGGACAGCACTGAAACGACTGTTCTCGTGGGAAAGATTTGAGACCAGTAATCACGTGTCTAAATACAATAATGCTCTCCTAAATTTAAGTCCAATATCACAGTAAACGGTCCGTTTTAACGAGTTTTTGGGGACGTCGGTTTAACCGGAAAAACCTTTATCCGGACTGGCCTCGGTCCCGAGGAGTCCGGATGAGAGGGAGTCTACTGTACTTTAAAAGAACTTAAAATATAGAGAACTTTAATATTGACAATCAATACGTTTTAAATTATGAGATTTATTCGCAAGGAGATTATGTTTATAAAATAAAAAATGATAATGCAACCCTATAGGCCTAGCATGAAGTTATGTTTAAACGGTTCAGGATTAGAGTCTAGCGTGTGTGTGTGTGAGTCTAGTCACGTCCTACGATGAAGATGGATGATTAAAAATTTCCAGTTTACTTGCTGACTCACCCAAATGGGGCTCCTCCACCTGATGGTATGAGGCCGGGGGATGGGGTGGGTTCGCAAGCGAGGGTTCTTCTGCCACAGTGGGTTGTTGACTCTGAACACTTGTAGTTTGACCGCTACCACCTGTATTCGTTGTTGTTCCTGTTAACAAGCGTTTGAATACATTTAACTCTCTTAGAGCCGTAAACCAAAAAACTCAATATCTTCATAATATTTAGACAATATACTGATCATGCAAAAAAGTTAGGTAGAATCTTTAAAAATGTGCAATTAGTTGTGCCACTGAAAAAGAAACCATGTCATTGACATTACCAACTATTTCAAGAGTGTTCTTCATATTAATTCTATTTTAAAATGACACACCTTAAGGTACTATTAATTTATGTGTATTTTTGGGGGCTTTATTCCCCTTTTTTATTGTCTTGTGATATCCAGTACTCGTCACAGTTAGGCACACACACATACACAAGCAATTGTCTTGGAGTTCAATTCTAACTTTTTCAGGTTCGTGAAACATTAGACTTGAAACTCCAGGACATTTGTGTGTAATGTGTATATAACTGTATATGCCGAGTCCTGGATATCACCAGTCAATAAAGATTAGTGAAGCCCACAAAAATTACGACATGAAAACTCTAAGACAGCGGAGTTTGAAACCTAAAACCTACTGTGCTGCGTCCAATACAAAGGACTTACCAGATTTCTCACTTTTGTTAATAGATATGACAGGCTAGGTTGCCAGCTGTGATCATTGAGGAGTATCATTGACTTTTGTTTACTATGGCAGACATACAGGGAGTTTGCGTTATATGCAGTAGACACGTTCCGTGCGATCGCTACGACGGGGGAGGCGGCAGCTGGGAACAGGCGACTATGTTCTTAGTTTTACTTTCACTCACCGGTCTCAGGGGCTGGTGGGGCCGCAGAAGCCTGCTCTGTGGAGCTAACTATCTTCGGTGGATTATCAGGATGATAGTGATAAACCGACCCATCATCGTTCTTCAGCGGTCGCCCAGTCTAAGTAATGACAAAAACAGCTCTCAGAGTTTGAAGATGATCAAACGTATCAACTAAATAAATATATTGTAAAAAATGTTTTAAACTACATAGTTCATTATAAAGACCACATATTAAAAGAGTTCAATTAAACAACTTTTTATATTACAGGTCTTGTAACTGAACCTGATGGATCAATCAACCTAGAATAAAACAGGCAACTAAAACATGTAAAATACTTGAAAAAGTCAGTGAGCTTTTTTGGTTTAATTTCCCACGTGATAAATAACAAATCTACCTACACTTTACGATTCAATATTATTGCTGAAAATGGTCTGTACATTTCTAAATAAAGTAGTTAACCAACCAGTTATAAAATTCAGGGTGGATTAGCCGATCGATATATGTTTTTGCATAGGCAGAAGCATTTAATCCGAGCAACAATTGATCCAAGGTTGGTTGAGGAATTTTAAGTGATTTCTTTGAGATAAAATAACTGTGGGTCAGGTATTCTCGTTACAGTTTCTTTAGAATAGAAATAAATTTGTTCACCCGTACATTATATGAGGATGTATTAGCACATACCCAACTGGAACTTACCTGTGGATTTATTAGAACAGATCCAATTGGGACGGATGCCATGCTAGTGACGGCCCAAAACACAGCATCTTGTTCTATGTCCGGGGAAACTGCACCACTTTGGTTAGAAAGCTGAAATGTTTGTTTATGTTACTCATTATTTAAACTGTATTCCAACTATGGGCTACACAGTATAATTTTGTAAATTCAAAAAGATAAATAGTAGTTGGCTCTGAAGATGAAGTGCTGTTACACATCCAAAACTTGGGCCTCTGGTTTAGATTATTCAATGCTCCTTTCAACAGCATTTACCCTTAAAACCAATGAACTATACAGTATATAGGTTGTGATTCCTATTTCAGAGTTTATTAATGGTCTTTTGTCGAGAAGAAAAATATTTAGCTAAAATAAATAAATCTTTATTTTTCTTCGTCCTACATTAAAATATTGCATCAGATAAAATACATTACAATACTTTAATACTTTTCAATGAAATGGTGACCATACAAAGTAGTTATTTTAACCCAATGGGGAAGGAATTAATGCGCTGCCTGTAGTGCCCGCGGTCGACAATTCATTTCACCCAATTTGTAGACTTTAACTCTAATTGTTACAGAAAGAACCCCTTAAGCAATAATTAAATCATTCTTTTGCCACTTTATCCAGGAAACAAAAAAAATTTAGTTGGATAATCAAAGTGTAAAATAAAAAAAAAACATTATAAAAAATAAAAATTTAAAACCTTTTTTTAAGTGAATTTTATTTACAAATTCAAAGATGAATCCAGACACCAAATGACACTATTGTCATAAAGTTCAATTAATTCCCTACGTAGGAAAATCAACAGTTGTTTACTTTTATAAGTAGGCCTAATAACATAGAAAAAATTTGTTTTACCTTACCACAGCTGATTTTGGGTGATATCTGGTTTCCATGGAAACACAACCTCTGTTTTTTTCCAAAAAATAAATGATTAAAAATATGCAAAACAACAAGCAAGATATTTCTAAACATCATAAAAAATAATATAACAATTTTTTTATAAAAAACCAGCTGGGCTTGTAAGTAGGATTTTGGGCCTGCGGCAGCCAGACGAGTAACACTAAAAAATGTCGGCGTCAATGGGTTAAGCCAAGTATGAATGGAGATGAATGGCACGATCTTGTAGTCTTATTAGTGACTAAGGCCGACATATTCTTTAGACACAGCTGTTAATTAATAGCCCATACGGCAACTGATGGACCTACAATTTATAGTGGAATCCAAACCACATTTTTGCCTTGGTATTTATGAATTGGTCTAGTTATAAGGATAATACTGCGGATAGTCGTAGTATTCACTAGTGCGGACGTTAATTCATACCAGGGAGTATCGCATCCACTGTGCATGCCTATAAATATCCACAATTCGTGACCTCCAAGTAGCTGGATTACAGGACGACGCCACCGTCCCAGTGATAATAAATAAATAAATAAATAAATCTTTATTGGTCATTAAATAACAGATGTTACAATAGACCTGGTTAACAAAAAAAGGTGCCAAAAAGGGCCATAGATTCTAGATAGTATAACATGGAATCTTCACTAAATATAACAAAGACAACAAGAAAATAAATAGTTAAAAATCATTGAAAAAACACAGAACTATATACAGAAACAAAAAGTGAGGTACTTAAACAAAGTTTTTGAAAAACTAGGTAATACCCCAGCCTGACTAATCACAAGATAATAATAAACAAAACAAACCAAAACAGCGCCCCTCAAAACACATTTCTGTTTGGAGGTTCCTTTATATGCATTAAATACTCACAAAATTCCAGAGGAATAAAAATCTTATTTATTTATTAAATCCAGTGTTTCTTTTTGCTTCTGAAAAAAACTGAAACTTAAAAGAAAAGTTAAAGATAACATACGGTACTCAATAGCAAATTATTATTTAGTTCCTCAATTGCAGCATCATTTCCCATCCTTTGGATACAGTATGGTTTTAGTTATTAAATAAATACATATTGGTTCTTTCTGTAAAGGTTTTTGAGAAATCACAGTGCAGGTTAAGTTTTAACTTATGATAACCCCTATGTGATAGACGTATGAAAATCGTTACTGAAAAAGACTACTCCCTATTCCAGGGAATCAGGGAGGAACTGTTCTGGATCAGATTACTAGTTTATTAGTATTAGATTGATTTATTGGCAATCTGAAGAGAATCGTCATCAATTAAATGATTAAAAGTCACTTCCATTGTTGGAACTGAGAAACCTCTAAAGGAATTTCCATATTTGTAGCGTAAACATTAATACAACAATTGTATATAAAATTTGAATATCTCTGCCGAACAATATTGCAATTGATATATTTTACGAACTTCAGATTTTTAAAGAACAACGATGTAAATGGCATTCCCTACTGTATTCGATATTTTAGTTTTTGAAAATATACAGGTTGGCAGCACTAACTAACAGACAATTTAATTCACGGGAAACTAGAAATGGCTGTGTTAGCACTGGCGTGCCCAAAATGATAGTGTACTCTGAAAATATTCACTTTTGTTACTTGCAACATTGTTCGGCGGAACTATTCATGTGTGGAGTTGTCACTAACCTGCGTAGGTAGGTGGGGAGTAGCGGACGGTGATGGAGTTTCAGACGATCTTCTATCTGATCTTTGGCTCTCATAACCACACCAGGAGTTGTCACTAACCTGGGTGGCTAGGTGGGGAGTATCGGACGGTGATGGAGTTTCAGACGATCTTCTATCTGATCTTCGGCTCTCATAACCACACCGGGAGTTGTCACTAACCTGGGTGGCTAGGTGGGGAGTATCGGACGGTAATGGAGTTTCAGACGATCTTCTATCTGATCTTTGGCTCTCATAACCACACCAGGAGTTGTCACTAACCTGGGTGGCTAGGTGGGGAGTAGCGGACGGTGATGGAGTTTCAGACGATCTTCTATCTGATCTTTGGCTCTCATAACCACACCAGGAGTTGTCACTAACCTGGGTGGCTTGGTGGGGAGTAGCGGACGGTGATGGAGTTGCATCTGATCTTCGGCTCTCATAACCACACCGGGAGTTGTCACTAACCTGGATAGGTTGGTGGGGAGTATCGGACGGTGATGGAGTTGCATCTGATCTTTGGCTCTTATAAGCACACCTGGAGTTGTAAATAATCTTGGTAGCTAGGATGGGAGTAGGGGAAGGTGATGGAGTTGCAGATTTTTTATCAGATCTTTGGCTCTTATGAGCACACCTGGAGTTGTAAATAATCTGGGTAATTAGGTGGGGAGGAGTGGACGGTGACGTAGTTTCAGAAACTGTTATATCTGATCTTTGGGTCTCATAACCACAACTTGAGTTGTCACCAACCTGGGTAGCTTGGTGGGGAGTTTCGGACGTTGATGGAGTTGCCATTGTTCTATTTAGGCTTTGGGTCTCATAACCACATCTTGAGTTGTCCCAAACCTGGATAATTAGGTGGGGAGTGTCGGACGGTGATGGAGTTGCCATTGTTCTATTTGGGCTTTGGGTCTCATAATCACACATCGAGTTGTCACCAACCTGGATAACTAGGTGGGGAGTGTCGGACGGTGATGGAGTTGCCATTGTTCTATTTGGGCTTTGGGTCTCATAACCACAACTTGAGTTGTCACCAACCTGGGTAGTTTGGTGGGAAGTGTCGGACGGTGATGGAGTTGCCATTGTTCTATTTGGGCTTTGGGTCTCATAACCACAACTTGAGTTGTCACCAACCTGGGTAGTTTGGTGGGAAGTGTCGGACGGTGATGGAGTTGCCATTGTTCTATTTGGGCTTTGGGTCTCATAACCACACCTTGAGTTGTCACCAACCTGGGTAGCTTGGTGGGGAGTATCGGACGGTGATGGAGTTGCCATTGTTCTATTTGGGCTTTGGCTCTCATAACCACACCTTGAGTTGTCACCAACCTGGGTAGCTTGGTGGGGAGTGTCGGACGGTGATGGAGTTGCCATTGTTCTATTTGGGCTTTGGCTCTCATAACCACACCTTGAGTTGTCACCAACCTGGGTAGCTTGGTGAGGAGTAGCAGATGGTGATGGAGTTGTCATTGTTCTCTTTGGACTTTGGCTCTCATAACCACACCTTGAGTTGTCACCAACCTGGGTAGCTTGGTGGGGAGTAGCAGATGGTGATGGAGTTGTCATTGTTCTCTTTGGACTTTGGCTCTCATAACCACACCTTGAGTTGTCACCAACCTGGGTAGCTTGGTGGGGAGTGTCGGACGGTGATGGAGTTGCCATTGTTCTATTTGGGCTTTGGGTCTCATAATCACACCTTGAGTTGTCACCAACCTGGGTAGCTAGGTGGGGAGTAGTGGGCGGTGATGGAGTTGCCACTGTTCTCTTTGGGCTTTGGCTCTCATAACCACACTTTGAGTTGTCACCAACCTGGGTAGCTATGTGGGGAGTAGCAGATGGTGATGGAGTTTCCATTGTTCTCTTTGGGCTTTGGCTCTCATAACCACACCTTGAGTTGTCACCAACCTGGGTAGCTTGGTGGGGAGTAGCGGGCGGTGATGGAGTTGCCATTGTTCTCTTTGGGCTTTGGCTCTCATAACCACACCTTGAGTTGTCACTAACCTGAGTGGCTAGGTGGGGAGTAGCGGACGGTGACGGAGTTGCAGAAACTGTAGTATCTGATCTCTGGCTCTTATAACCAGAACTCGAGGGACTTACACCAGACCCACCACTGCTGCCCGAGTCTGAAAATAACCGTCAAAAAGTAACACTTTCAAGTACCAAAATTAAATTAATAACTGTGTCGGATGTGTACAGAGCTGCAGACTATACCTGTGGTCTGACTTTGGTGAAATTCGGTATTCGGGTACATATCTATGGTATCTTCAAGAAGTTTTGTTGTTGTTGGAAATTTAGATTTTTAATGGTGTTTCCCCTAAAAACCCAATAAATAATGGAAAATAATAATTTTACAAAACCTGAATGAATGATTTTCATTAAAATTTCATTTGTAATGACTTTTTTTTTTTTTTTAATTTACAATCCCAAACGCTGTAAACTAGGGTTCAAAAGTGATTGCAATTTAGTGATTTCACCTATATAATATCATCGTTACTCCCACCACATACCCATTATATGGGGTTTTGAATGGTTAATGCAAGAAAGTATGCGTCAGTTTGCTGATACTTTACTGTTTATTAAATGTTAAAAATAATTATTCTGATACATAACTTGGCTAAAGAGAGATAGCTTTATTCTAACCAAGTTGGCTGCACTTCACCAAAACATTGTGACGTAATCCCTAATAGATCACTCCTCAACATCCGACCAATAATTGAAGGTAGCAGGTTCAATGAGCTTGTTTCCAGATTCAGATGCCCTTTATCATTGGTTTGTGAAATTAACCGACTTAATAAACTAATATCTTATATTCAGGTACTTAACCAAACCGTATAATCCTGTCAGTATGATCTAGTGCTTGTTATGCGAGGGAGTGAACGAGACAAGATTTATAGTTTTTGTTCTATTAGTTTCTTGAAAAATCCAGACGGACATTTGTTGTAGCCAGATCAATAGGGATTTTGGCCAGTAACTTTTTTCTAGGTTCTAGGTAGCCTACATACCGGGTGTCCCACGAAGAGGTCCCTATTTTTGAATTAACCACTTGCAGTCAAATGGCAAGTATAGGTCGCAGCCCGCCATTTTCCTGACTGCTTGAAAATGACAATCTAAACTCACAAAAAAAAATTGAAAAATTTAATTATAAAAAACGGTTTACGTTACCTTTTGCGTCAAACGATCATTGATATAGTTCAAATCAACCACAGCTGTTTCATGCCGCTGGGGCACATCTTCAGGTTTTCGAACGTCAAGATAAAAGAGCTTTCATCTGTGGATGAGTTTGTCAATGTAAATAATTACGGTTATAGACAAAACACACGAATAGGAAAACATTTAAATAACAAGAATTTAACTTGGCCAAGTAACAAACACAAGAGGTAGGCGCCGGTGGATGTTGCGTCATGACTAAGATGAGATGATCATGCCTCATGAAAGCTCTTTTATCTTGAGGTTCGACAACCTGAAGATGTGCCCGAGAGGCAAGAAACAGCTGTAGTTGATTTTAACTATATCAAGGATCAGTTGACGCAAAAGGTAACATAAACCATTTTATATTGCAATTTTCGATCCAGAGGCTAAGCCCATCATGAAATTAAAAAAGCTTATCTTTGCGGTCGAATGGCAAGTATCGGTCGCCGCACCCCATTTTCCCGACTGCTTGAATGTTAACCTATACTCGCCAAAAAAGAAAAAAATTTGACCTTAAAGGGATAATATATTAGACGCACCGAACACTCCACAAACTTAAACTCAACAGTTGTAACACACATATAATTATGTAAAAGAAATACCCCTGTGTATCAGTTGATTCTGACACATTAGGACAAAATGGCTGGATATCAGAGAAAAAGACCTTTTCCTACAGTTACCTAACAATGTACATGTTCTCTCACTGATTTGAGAAAGCAAAGTGGCCAATTCGCTCATCAGTGAGACAATGTTAACATTGTCTCACTCTAATTACTTTGTCTCACTCCAGATTTTCAACGTGAAGGCACGAAATAGTGAGCGCGTAGCATGCAGGCAACGTCGTATGCGCGCGAAATACGTTGGCAGCACTGGCTGTAAATCAGCTGGTCAGCTGTTGTACTGTTGTATTTGTCACTTCACATTAAATGTTATATTAAAAGTTCACTTCTGTGTAAAAATAGGTTATGTTTCTTCACCAATTTATTTGTTTTATGGTAACTGTTGGAAAAGAATAATGTGCAACTCGAGTTCAAAGTACAATTGCCTAACTCGAGAAACCATTCCTCACTCGCCTACGGCTCGTGAGTAAGGATTTCTCTCGAGTGAGTCAATTGCTCACTTTTCTCACTAGTTGCACAAATAACTATTTCGATACTTTAAAATACGATTGCTGATTATGTTGTTTGTTTTTTTCCCGACGTCTGTCATATCAATTCAAAAATAGGGACCTCTTTGTGGGACACTCGGTATATGAAATGGTGACGGGCACAGCACAAGGATAGCAAGTTTACCTTATTGGGTACAAGTTAATTCATATTGATTCACCTTCCTTAGTGTGGAATTATTCACCTTTTATGTATAGTGTAAAGTTTTGTGTTTTGTGCCAGTTTGGACTATTTACCAATCAGGTAAGGCTGCTATCCTCAGAAAAGGATCCCAAAAACCAAGGCCCTTTTGATCTAAGTTCAAACTGTTTACATACCCTGTTTAGTGAGCACTCTATTGTTAGAAGTCTGGTCATATCCTCCGAAGCTATAGGATTTGCTAACACTCGATCGTAGGGAGTTAGCTCGTAGGGTGTCTCTGCATTCGTACGATTCGCCCTTGGCAAGTCTTGATGGTCTGAAAACATTTTTAACTTAGGATGAGTATAAGTTTCTGTACATAATGTAAATTAATATTTATGAATTTGTAAATGTCTTCTTATATTTATGTATTTCAATCATATTTGTGTGTTTCTCCTTCAAACTCAATATAGTTCTCAACCTAGGTCAAGTAACAGGTAAACACTTCTTGTTCAGCCTTGTCCACTGATTAGCCTAAACTCTATTTCTACCTTATTTTTTCTTGATTTTTCGTTTGTTGTTTTGACCACTATGTGAATTCTCTGTGTGGGTTTTCTTGTGCGATTCTCCAGTTTTGGATAGGTTTGTGTTCTGATCTTGCTATGCTATAGTACTTTCTTACCTGAGGTTGGGATCATATTCTTGATCCAGAAAAGTTGTTAAAACAATTTTTACTTATGCTAGAAAATATCCACAATAATCCCTCAAGTGTACCTGTACCTGTGGATTTTTAAATACAAGGAAAGTGTACATGTATGTCAATTAGAGTGGCGAGAATGTAGAAAATCGGCACAAGAACCCTCCCCACCATTGTTCCTACGTTACTTTGTACCATCATCCCAACAACTAATTGCCATGAATCTAATTCCACCTGTCTAATGGCGTGACTCTTAGTGTTTAAATAATTATTACCAACATTTTCCATCACGATCAGTAAACAACAAAGTTTTCACTACATTTCGGGAATTGGAATTTGATGCCATCCTTAAGTGAAAAAAAAATAAAAAGATTAGTACACAAACTAGCAAATGCTAGATAACCGTAAATAAAACCACAGATAGAACTGTATAGTAGTCAAACAAAAACAAAATTAGTGAATTTCCCATATCCCTAAGCTATTACCTTAGTACTCATGTTAAGACCTGGACCCACGACCGATTTACTTTTTTTTGTTTTGAGGTCCCCAGAGGTCAAAAACACTATCCGTTCAAATTCATGAATGCCTAGGCCTATATACAGTATAATATATAATATATATATTTGTGTCCGTTAGCACGATAACTCGACAGTACAAAAATGATCCGATTTTGATTAAATTTGGCATAAACGTGGAAGTAAGCCTACATTTATTCAAACCAGTTCACAAAATGAGCATGATCGACTATGGGGGGTTTTATGGGGTAAAAATAGGTTTTCCCCATTTTTTACCCTATAAAAACATATAAAAGTTAACAATTTATTTCCAAACCATTTTGTAGAGCTTTTTAACCCTCTCTGTTGCAGCATTGTACTATGTACTCATTAAATTAATGCTATTTAAATGGGGAATGAATGTAATGATTTATGGTGATATTTTAGTATTAAAACAATCAGGCAAATGGAAATTTGCTTACTGCACGTTTGTTACGGTGGGGATATTTACTAATAGTGCTGCAAAATGTCCTCAATAATTTCTAAGTAACACAAATCTACCATCATCAAAAATGGACTCTAAACAAAAAATTCACTTATTTGTTGAAGTTGTTATAATACTTTTTGGAGCCTTTTCTTTTATCTCTGAATCCCTCCACACTTCATATTAAATGATACGATCTGTACCTGTGGAGTGTCGTGATGGCAAGCACGTACCTTTGAGAGTTTGGGTGTAGCTTAGTTGAGTCGGAGGAGGCAGTTCGTTCCCATGTAGGAGGAGGCTGCGTCCAGCGCATTTCGTCCTCGCCGTCTTGAGAGCAACTGTCTCTGTCTCCCTGCAACGAAACAGTTTTTTTTATAAATAACTTCTTAATCAGCATTGTATGCAGGGCCGATTTACCAAATAGCCACGGTAGGCACTTGCCTAGGGCACGAGGCAAATGGCTTTTTTGGGGGGCGCAAAAAATTGGAAAATAAAAAAATTGGTAGTTGTATTTGCATGTGATAGCGGTAAACTTCTGATAATCCCCGCAGTCATGTGGACATTATTATTGTCTTGCTCGATCGTGGTCGGATTGTGATCACCCCTCACGGCCGTGAAGACAAATTATATCCCCCCTCCCCCCCCCCCCGCATTTGTGTGGACAAATTAATCACCTCCCGCGATTGCGGCAAAATGGTAATCATATTCCGCGGTTTTGTCATCTTCTTCCGCAAATGAGGCAAAATTGTGCAATTTTCCCGCGATCTAGTGGACATTATCATTGTCTTGCGCGATCACGATAAAATTCTGATCACCCCTTGCAGCCGCGAAGACATCATTACATCGTGCCTTGCGGTCGTTTGGACATAGTAATCGCATCCCGCGATTTCGGCAAAATGGTAATCACCTCCCTCGGTCATGTGGACATTATTATCATCTTCTGTGATCGCGGAAAAATCTGATCATCCCTCTTGGCCTTGTAGAAATCATTATTGTATTTCCCGCGGTCCTGTAGACATCGTAATCGTCTCTCGCGGTCGTGAAGACATCGTAATCGCCTCACGCGTTTGCGGCAAAATGTTACTCATATCCTGCAGTCGTGTGGAGATCATCATCGTCTTCCACGATCGCGGCAAAATTCTTGCTGTTTCCCTCGGTTATGTGGACATTATCATCATCTTCTGCTATCGCGGAAAAATCTGATCATATCCCTCAAGGCCTTGTAGAAATCATTATTGTATCTCCCGCGGTCCTGTAGACATCGTAATCGTCTTCCGCGATCGCGAAAAAATGTTATCATACCTCGCGGCCGTGTGTAGAGTAGACATATTATCGTTTTCCGCAGTCACGGAAACGTCACTTTTGTCATGCGCGATCGTGGAATATTGAAAATTTCAGGTATTAATACAAAATTCACACATAATTCCTGGATTTCCCGGTCGGTGGACACTCTGCTATATATTTTGTAAAGGGGCGCTACTATTAGTTAAGTGCCTAGGGCGCTGACAGGGTCAAAAACGGGCCTGATTGTATGTGTTATGAAATTTACTGAAAGTGCATATAAATAAGACTAATAACACTTGTAATAATATTTACAACTATACTGTTGACTCACAAGACATTAAATACACATAAAATATGGGAAGTGGTGATCGATATTGATTTCTAAGTAACACAAATCCACCATCGCCAAAAATGGACATCAACCAATCAACATCATGGGTCTAATTGAAATCACAGCACATTAAGTACCTTATATGTGCTTCAAGATTTTTAACAAGGTTCCAAACGAAATTAACCACAATAAAGATATAGAAAATTATTCAAGGAGTATTTATTGAATAGGCCATACACTGGCAGAGTATTTTGGGTAAGAATGAAAATGGCCAATATTTTGACAACCATGACATGTAACGCTTCTAATGGGAAATCATCAAGTATCAAGTATCATGTAACTGTAAAATACGAGATAAAGTAGTACTTGTCCACTTCACTACAGGTTTTTGTGCAGCTAGGGGTATTAGGTATTAAAATATTTGAGCGTGGAAAACCAATATGGTACATGGAGTCAAAAAATTGTGTACTATGCTATTAAAACAACAAGAAACTAAAAAGCAAAGTGCACGGCCCTAAAGTCTGGCACCTATTTTCTGAATAGAGTCAGGGGGGACACAAAGGGTTTGTGTTGACATACTTGTTATGTTGTCTAGTCCTCTAAAATATAAATTTTTAAAGGGGACGCCTTCACAATGTCATTGGAACCATTTGCAATTTTCCCAACTGACTGAAACACTTACGTGTTCTTGGTGAAAAATACGAGCTCTAGCTTTTTCATATTCCTCCTCTCTCTCTTCGAAACTTTTGGATCTCCGCGGTCCGTCAGGCTGTCCATCAGGATTCTGAGACATTAAAAGTAAATTTTCAAGCAAATACCACGATTAAAGTTTGTTTGTGCCCAATTTTACATTGATAAAAGCAGTGCTGTCATAATTGTAACACATGCTTCAAATTCAGAAAGGTAAAATTAAGACAAACCAAGGAATATATTTTGTTTGTCAAATTCAATAAGAAAAAAAAACAAGATCACCCAAACTGATTATAATTTAAAAATACTACTGTAAAATAATCTTTATGATTGAAGATTACTCGCTATGAAACTTTAATTGAGATTAATAATACTGCTACAAAATAACTTGTGGGCTACAAAAGTCTGAGTAATATGAATTAAAAAGCCGTTGATTTAAATAAAACTAGAATAACAATTGTTCTCGAGAGCGAACATTCGCTCCAAACAAAGATATGAACAACTCTGTTATTACTCCTTGAAGATTTTGTTCGGAACTGCATCCACTTTCCGGGCGTACATTGATCGTGCAAACATGTTCGCTGAACATTTGTCCAGTGTTGACGCGGCTTCATGATAACAACAAAACACAGGTATATTAGTGAAAAAATTGGTTTTACCTTGAAGCTCGGAGTGTCTTCGAAAGACGCAGAATCTCTTTTTAGTATAGATTTTCTAGGCTCTTCTGACATTGAAACTTCGCCTCTGAAAACAAACTCTTGCATTTAAAAATACTTCTTAGTTCTTATCTTAAAGTAAAAAAGTATTGATTACAAAAATAATTGTTAAACCTTATACCTGCAATAAGGGCTCTAGAATAAGAATTTAAATTTGAGTAGTAGATTAAATAGAATTTTTCAACGTCTGTAACTGATTTTCTGTCATGTCATAATAGGAAAACATAATCTATCAGCTCACTTATCCAATTAAGGTATCACTTATTGTGCTATTTTTTCTGTAGTCTTTGTTTTTATTGACAAATATGATATTTTAGCTCAAATATGAAGGTTTATACAGTAATCATTTTTTTTTAAATGGCACACTATTCTGAAAGTTCTTCTGATTACAATAGTTTCTTTAGAGAAAATCATGTAACCAATCTGTTAGCAAAAATGTTGTTGTTATAAATTGTTTCAATAAAAAATTGTACATATTGAAAACAACTATATCAAAAAGTAACAGCTCATAAACCCAACTGATGTCTACCTCCTTTAGGCGGGGACACACTTGTCATACACCCTTCCGATCCGACTCCGATCATACTGCGGTACGACTGTCGGAGAGGGGAATGGTACATAACATTGAACGCGGTTGTTCACACCTCTCCGACACGCGTCATGTCATACTCCGATCCTACTCCGATTTTGGTTCCGATCACGCACCGACACTGCAGTCTATTCGTTTGTCGGATGCAGGATGGGTTGTTTCTTAAAAATCACCTTTATTCTTAAGATTTAAGAATAATGGTTTAAGATAAATATATGCCGATGCTTGATGTGAAATCTGTGCGTGCATACCTTCAATTTGAGACCTCGATCATGAAAATCGGACGGGTAGAAGAGCCAAACGAACTCGAGAGAGAAAACCCAATGTGCTTAATATATAAGATGGACACTTAAGTAAACCACCTAACTTTCTTTCCATACAGAATGAACCCAAATTCTTCGTTTTCCACTGCCCTTCAGAGATGTCTGACTTTTTTCCTCTTCGTCTAGACAAACCGCCATCATGGCTGAATCCCGAAGTCCAAAGTTTTTGAGCATGTTTACCACCTTCTGCACGTAGTTTACAAATCAGACAGGCAAGTGTTGATCGACCGGTGGAGGAAATCGGGCATGAGTCGGAAGCGTGTATGACATGTGTGTTCATCCTCTCCGATCCCGCACCGATCCTTCTGGAATCCCGCAAATCGGATCGTAGTAGGATCGGAAGAGTGTATGACAAGTGTGTCCCTGCCTTTAGACTCACAAACCCTTCATCATGCCATTAAGTCTTTTGGAACCAAAAAATAAAAATAGTTTTTGTCTTAAAGATGGCGGTTACACACTTAAACCTAAAAAATCTATAAAAATAAATGTTTACTGAAAACTTCAAACCTTTTAGGATTATCTCTTCAATTCATGCCATAACAGCATTTTAATAGCAGTGTAAAAAAAAACAAACAAACAAAGAAAACAAAGAACAAGGTTTAACATACCTTGTTTAATAGTCTTTGATTGCATTATTGAAACTATTAGAACGTAAAAACTTGGTGCCAATAATTCGATACCGTACTCAACATTTTCAAATATTTCATAGGCAATTTATTCCTATCAACATTCAGTTTATCAGTTCTTTAGTGTAATATTCACAATCAATTTTAGATTTAATCGCCATTTATTTAGAAATACAGTAAAATCGTAAAAAGACTCACCTAAAAAAGTTAATGAGCTTGTTTGCTGGCATTCTTGCATTTTTCACCTTATAGACGATCACGGACTGGCCGGAGGGGTCTACATTATGGTCCAAGTTATAGTAATGGGCTACTTTATGAACTAGCATTCTTTGGTAGGAGCTCATAATTCCGAACTTATGACATGATTTTCTGAAAAATAGTAAACAAGTGTATTATTTTATTTGAAAATATGTGAAACACAATACTGGTACAAATTTTCCAAGAAAACATTGCTTTAATTTTCAATTCAGAGCCAAAAAGACAACAACACATTGCTGGGATGCATTTATGTCACAAACGCATTCATTTTTGTATAATGTTCAATAAAATTACTTTAAACATAGTTAGTAATTACTCTATCATGATAAAAGTATTGGAATTTATTGAAGTGTCTTTCGATAGCTATGAATTCAAATATATTTTTACCATTCATAACAACATTCTTGGTGACTCGGTACGCACACAATTGTGCTGACGGTACATTCTTGGTGACTCGGTACGCACACAATTGTGCTGACGGTACTTTCAAAAGTCTGAGAAATCTCACACTGCCTCATGTTTATATTCTAAGTTTTCATATGAGTTTTTTTTATAAAAAAAGGACCTTCAAACAACAATAACATATGTTAACACCTGATAAAAAAATTACATTTTCATCAAAAGAATCCTCTGATAATAGACAATAACTTTGATCTTCAATAATAAATAATAAATAATAGTTTTTAAAGGAATGATTCACACCGTTCGATAGGAAATTTAATTTACTTTAAGAATGCCATCGGTGAATAACACAGGTGTTTGAGTTTAGCGGCAATTTTAATTCGAAACAGCGCGCGTCATGTTTTTGCCTATCTCTCCCATGTTATAGCCGCGGCTTTTTGCCACTCTACGCCCCGCATACCCCTCTAGTGTTCTGTTAAAGCTGGCTTCACCGCAACATGTGTATTCCTATTCGCGTGCCCTCTCCTTAATGTTTAATCCTCCTAGGTCAGTATCCATATAGGAAAAACACCTGCAGAAAGTCGAGGCAATACCCGCAACACAGGAGCGAGTTGTTGTTGCGTTTCCTTTGTGAAGGCGTTCTTATTAAATTAATTATAGCTTTAATTGTTTTATAATTTTTTTTTATTGTAAATGATGAGAAGTTTTGTTTAGTGTAAGCAGTGTGAGACATGTTTTACTGCTGTAAACATAGCCAAACAAGTCACTCCAAAATCATTCTAAGAATAACACAAGTCTGAAAAATTTGTACTTGATACATTGATGTTTTAAACTGATAAACTTGGTATTTTGTAGGTCTGCTATGTACCTATACCTTTTAGTTTGAAGGTCTGATTCTATCCTCTCATTTTATCAATTTAAACCAATTATTGAAAGTTTTAGTATAAATCTTGCAAATGTTTTTATTTGTTTACACCGAAACATATCTTTATTTGTAAAATCAATATTATAAAATAGGTAACATGCTTAACAATATGATTCTGCAAGTAAAAATTATGAAATGAAATAGGCAAGTAAAGCTCAAGTAATATAGCTCACTGACATTTCCAGCAATACAGGTTCTTCTAATGATTGAAAATAAATATTTTTTCACCTAAAATTCATATATGTCATATGTATGAATAGGTCTAATACCACATTGACAAAAATTTGCATTACACAAATGTGGTAAATTTTAATTAGCCTATAGTTATTTCACTCAATTGACAAGTAGGCCTATGAACTTGTATTGCTTCGAATCGAGTTGCATAGTTTCGAATCAAAAATCTTTTGAATCGAATCGTTGCTTCGCATCGATAATATTTTGCTGCTTCGCACATCCCTAAATATAGGTGTAAATATTGAATAGTATTGGTAGATATTGCATCTAAACAGTGTCAACACACACATTGCCACTAAAGAAGTTATTAAGAGATTACCTTTTGTCATTGAGTAGGTTGATTATTTCACTTTCTATTTTTAACAGTAAAATCTTGTCTTTTGTCGGTCCATTGATTGTTTCAGTTAGAAAATGCTCCAACTCTTGGGTGGACATTTGGTCATTATTGTGCTCCATACTGTTACCTGCAATAAATAAAGAAAGCTTATGAGAGAAATTCATGAAGCTCGGTGGTAGAAGTTTGATAGGCCTGAAACTATTCCGGTTATACACATTTTTCTTCATAAATCAAGGGATATTTACCATTGCACTGTAATCAATTAAATTTTCCTCTTTTACAGATTACCATTACAGATTAGATTTTACAGAGGTGAGTGAGGTGCCTTGTGGAGTTTCCCAATGCCCATAAAAATTGTTAGAAATAGTCAAAAGCTGTATTACAATTGTTTTACAACAATTTTAAAACATTTTGATTTCAACTTCATATTACAACAATTTTAAAAGATTGAAACAATCTTTAAATTGTTTAACAATCAGTTTTTTTTTCAGTAAAAAAAATCAGTTTTAATATGAGTTGTAAATATTTTAATTTTAAATGATATTAAATTTTTTTTATTCTTAGTTTTGTTAAAAACAAATGTAAAACAATTTTCTAGACTATATTTAAATTGATTACAAAACTATTTAAACATTTTTGTGTAGTTCTTAAATATACAAGTTTCAACAATTCTGAAATAAATGTTCAATTTGTTTTATTATTTATTTTTCAATAATATGAGATGTATAATCTAAATTAATGGGTCATATCCCTGTTTTGGCCACTTTTAAAATCACTTGCATTTAATTTTGATATACAGGGTGTTTTTTTTTACACAACTGAGCAAGGCTCAGTCCCCTGGTACTATAAATTAGTTTAACGAGTACTTAGGTTTGCTGCAACAGGGAGGGTTGATCAAAATATGTTCATAAACAAGCAAACTACAACAGTTAACTTATTCTCTATAAGGATACCTAACATGGGAATTTTAAATTTACAATTTCTTTTAATTTTCTCCGTAACCATTAGACGCATAATAATGCTTCAATATTATAAATTATTGTTTTACAAATATTATAAATTAAGCTCTACAAAATGGTTTGGAAAGAAATTGCTAAATTTTATGTTTTTTGGGTCAAAAATGGGAAAAACCAATTTTTACCCCGGGCCATAAAACCCCGTCCCCATGGTCCAATCATGCTGGTTTGCGAACTCGTTCGAATAAATGTAGGTTTACTTGTTTTTACCAAATTTCGGCAAAATCTGATAATTTTTGCTCGAGTTATCATGCTAACGGACACATAGGCTATACTGTATATATAGCCTATATGAATTTGGACGGATGGTGTTTTTGGCCTTTAGGGTCCTCAAAACGATGAAGTAAATAGGTCCCGGGTCCGGGTCTTATCATGAGTACTACGGTAATAGCTTATTCCCTATAGGGGAAATTCGTTAAAACAATACTTGGGCCTGTGGTAAAATAGACGTAACTAGGATGACCCTAAGGGGGGTGGTGGGGGGGGGGGGGGTAGCACCGTGGGGGGTGTCTGGGGGATCCGGAATATCTGTGAAAATTAGAGCTGTAAACTTGTGTTTTTAGGCTATTTAGAGTCATATCAAACAGTTATTGTAGCTTAACCCTTTGTGGACGAATAGCAAGTATAGGTCGTCCCCCGCTATTTTTCCAGACTGATCGAAAATGGCTACCTGTAGGCCTACTTAAAAAAAAATCAAAAAAGTTTATCTTAACGGTCGAATGAACAGTATAGGTCACAGGTGCCATTTTACCGACTGCTCGAATGGTGACCTATACTTGCCGAAAACGAATTCAACCTCAAAGGGTTAATTGTAGAAAAAAATTGTGTTTTAAGGTCAATGTGGGGTTCAAACCCTTAAAACCTTCCCCTGGATACGCCACTGCGTGTTAATTTATATTAACTCAAACAAGCAATAAGTTAAGTTATGAGTATGTAAGTTAGGCCTAATGCCTAATAGTTCGATATGGAACCATAAACAGTATTCAATGCAATAGGCCTAAATTATAAAGCTCCGTCTAAAAATCTATGTAGGCTAGCCAATTACTTTATAATGTTTTCCATAACCTTATAATCTAACAATAAGTTAATAGCAATCAGAATAAATGACATCAACACAATTGTGGAGGATAGGCCTAATAATTTAGTCTCACTTAAGTTGAAAAATTATACTTACTAGCCTAGCTCTTTCAAAGAATCATTATGACAAAAGCCGAGGACAACTCAATAATTACAAAATAGGTACCGGTAGCCTAACTTAATTGTTAGGTTACCATCTTAATAAGCTAAACTCAACAATACACAGATACAAAACTGCGCGGAGATGGTTTGAGAATATTTTAATGTCCCACTTCTTGCAGTTGTAGCAATCAAATAAACGTAAGGTAAATTAAAAACAACGTTGTAGGAAAGGTAAAATCAATACTTTTATTGATGTTTATTACTTAGGTAATGTAATATTTTTACTAGGCTAGTTTAGTTGTTATCACAGCGTTAGAAAATCACCAAGTACAAATACTCTACTACGATTGGCTGAACCACAATTTCCGCGCTGAGTTCTACCCTATTGTTTGCAGTGCTGCAAACCTTCCTTTTCGGGTTTCCCTAGCAGGAACTACGAAATTCTCGTTTTTACTTGAAAAATATTATTCGTACAAATCCCATTCAAGATCAAGTTTAAAAATGTTATTTTAACTAGATAGTACAGTACCAATAAGCAAAATACAAAAATCATTCTCATGACGTATCTGTAAGTAAATTACCCATTTTACCCTCAAAGGTCCAAAATACCCTCAAAAAGGTTATCTTCGAATTGGCAACGCTTCAGCTAGTTTTGCCAACTTCGCATCCTATTGTAAATTTTGAGGCTCGTTTTTTGTGTCTAGTTCATGTTCGTCGACACTGATCGCTAGTGTAGACGAAATTTATTTCTGTTATTTTAGGGTTATTTTCATAGTTTGAGCTTTTTGTTGATGTAACTGGGAGACAGGTTATTGTCTATGATTGTTTGGATAGTTTTTTTTTCTAAAGCAGGTTTTAAATGACTGAAATAACAAGAAAGAAATTGTAAATAAAACACAACCTCTACACAGTGCGACGTACAGAACAACTAACAATACAATAATTGGCTTCAGCTGTTCCATAAGGATGACAAATCTACTAAGGGAGTATTTTATCTATGGTTTTACAAACCAATCGTAGTGTGGTGGTTAAACTTCGATATGTTGAAGGGATAACCCCACTCGATGCGGAGGTTGGGGATGGGGTTTGCCCGAACGAGGTAGTTATAAAAAAAAGGTACCGTAGTTATAGTTTGGTAGTTAGAGTTACGACCATTGTGCTAGATATACAATTGGAGTTAGCAAAGACCTCTAGAACGTTGCTAAAAAATCGAGACTCTATAATTCTGTTAGGTTAGAACCAACTAGGGGAATCAGTTCATTCTCATTGCATTACTAATGAACGATAGAACAGTCAACAGTCGCGTAGTTGAAAATATGAAGTAAGAACATATTTTGAACTAGGAAAATATGGGATTGTGGGAAGCTAGTGACTCGTAATTCATGATTCCAGCGTTGATCATGGTGCTATTGAAGAATACCAGCGCATCATTCACTCGTGTGAACCCAAGAAAATAGTGCTGGTTGTTGCTTATTTTATCCTGTTTCCAAGTCACGATCGCGTAACTATTTCGTAGCGTGTCACTAAAACGGCTGTCTATCGAAACTTACTCATTGCAATTCAATCACTTTTATACAGTAATAAAGTGGAAGAGTTTTTCTATATTCATAAGGCGTTGACAAATCCATTAGCTATTTTTTGACCTTGAATGACAGGTGTCACTTATCAGCTGTGTCAACCGGGACCGGCCTCTTTACACTCTGTCTGACTTTGTTTATGTTTTGATTTGAATTTGATAGGTCTCTCTCTCTTTTACGTTGATTGTGTGTTATTTGGAGTTAAATATTTGGAGTTGAGTGTGTGCATTTGGTAATAAATAATTGTTGTGTAATGTCCGCATGATTGTTCTTCATCTTACCACATAAGTTAATTGTAAGTTTTTTTTAGTAAAATGAGTAGGCCCTAATATAAACATAGACTAGGCCTATAGGCCTATGTCTAATGTCTCTATGAACTTTCAGTTGTTTTATACAAGTTAGGATTACCTTTGCAATAAACAGTGCAAGTAGGCCTATTTTTAATTTTTTTCTTCAGCATCAAATTCTGTACAGTATCTTTTTCTTGCATTCAGAAGTTATTATTTTTATCTTCTAAGTATTTTATATACGCCCTAGCCCCTAACATGCCTATTAAGAAAATAGTTTAATTCCTACAATAAATCGTTTAATCTCAGGGACTCAAAAGGCAGCAGAAAATGTTCGTAGTTTGCTTGTTTATCGATAAATGTTAATAGAATAATTTGGCAAATTTAATAATCTTATACTAAGTTATATCTATTAACATTTTACTGGTAGGCCTACTAAAAAAAGATGGTAAAAGGGGGATGGTTTTCCAGGGGGTAGTATTCCGCATCCCCCTTAAGATCTTTATTTAACACGTTCACTGCGGATGACGAGTAATCTCGTCACAGCTAGCACTTTCCTGTGGCACGCGACGAGTGTACACGTCAAAGCGCCGTTTACAAACTATTGTTCCAATGCGAGGTTAGCCACTGACGTGAGACGTTGTTTCACTTGCTGCTTATTGTGCCAGTGTTATACTTAAATCTGATATAGGCCTAGTTTGTTTTCTCTGGCCCGACTATATTATTGGTGGTAGGTACGGTTTTTTATTGTAGTGTGGGGTTTAGGCTTGGATCTAATGACATGCAATAGAATAACGTTAATGAATTTACTGTAGCATTGTGGACGGAACCTAACCTCAAAACTGTGCTTGGCCACTTTTTTGCAGTATTTTTGATGGTGTATCCACCACCCTTGCTTTTTCTCTCCATTTGACAATACTGAAAGCAGGCTAGCAGTATTGTTTAGTGCTGCTATCTGTTGGGTTCTTGTAAAACTACGCCCTCAAGGACTGGGATAAAGTATATGCCTCTCATTTGGATGAAAATAAAATTAAACATTTTCGTACACTCGTCCACGCAGCGCACTAGGTGTTTGCGCCACCGGCAGTGGTCGGTTATCGCGCAGCCGCATTGATTGTGTAAATATATTGGTATTATAAGGCCTCGGATACGATAGGATCAGCAACCAGTGCGACTCGTAAGCAGTGGTGGTGGCTACGATACAAGCAGCAATTTTCTTAACACTCATCAAATTTCCTCTTATTTCAGTTTAAAAGATGATAGTAAAATGTGCAGATTCCCAGGACGTATTGCATCTATTTTCATTTTCTGACAATTTTCTGTTAAAGAAAAACTTAGTTTTTATCAATAAGAGGTGTAGGTAGGAGTCAATTGGGGTTCAACCGATTAACAAGAGGAGAAGTGTTTGAGTTGAATGTCACCATAATCCTACCTTACCTAGCTTAGAGAAGAGTGTGATAGTTTAATTCAATACACAAATAAGTCCATCCCTACTTTTGACTACATTTAGGGCAGATGAGATTGACGATTGAGATGAGAAGGGCAGGTTTACAACAAAACTAAAGCATAGACTTTGTGAATTGTAAGATGTTATGAGTAAATAAAAAATTTAAATTTGAACTTTCATGAACAGAACATTTTGTTTAACAAAACTTGTGTAAAAAAAAGGTTTTTTAACCAAATTGAACCTTTTATTCCCCTGCGTTCTAGCCCGGAATTGTTTTACACATTACTTCAGGCTAGGTCGGCTATGTCTAGAGGAGGTTGTGACATTTTCACTTAGATAAAAATCCTTTGCTAATTGGCGGAATCTGAACCCAAGACCTCGGGGACCGAAGTCCTACTCTCTACCATTAAACCAGCTTGCTCCCTAACTCAAACCCTTGATGTACTCAGAATTTTCAATAAAAAAATGAATTATTAGAATTAATATTTTGAAATCAAATTAATTCTTAAAAAGTATTGGGCGACGAAGAATCAATGGCAAACCCTGTCCCCGCCTGAATATAATGAAACTGCAGCTGGTTAAAATTAAAATAAACAACTTTTGAGATGGATGATTAAAAAATTATGTTTGTGATTTAACTCTTTACTACGATTGGACAACAAATTTACCTCTTGAAAGCGACGACGATAAGTTGGAGTCTGTGCTCTGGTTAGAACTGTCTCTTTTGAGTATTGGTCTAAGATTCAATCCATTGCTGTTCGTTGACGCAGGATTGTTGTTATTGCTTGGAGGGGTTGGCAGTTCTAAAGTAGGGGTTGTAACAGGTGACAAAGGTACGTCCGGAGGGGGACTGGTCGATTCTTTCAAAGCGTGGCTTCTTTTTAACAGTTTCAAATTTGCTTTTGACTGTAACAAATACATAATTAATGTTAGGAAAAGTTGATTTAGATTAGACAAATATGAGACACCAACATTTTGGGAAAATACTGTAAAAAATGGAACATATGATCAGACAAATTATCAGTCTAAATTGATAACATTTTAAGAACTGCAATATTATTTTCTTAATATTATTGAGATATTGTAGTTTATAACAGCATGTATTATCACAAGAGCTGAAATTTAACAGCGGAGCCGACAATGGGGTCAGAAGATGAACGAGGGTTTAAAATATACTTTCAATCCATGTGATGATATTTGTTGTAAAACTGTGTCATTCTTAAAGCTAAATAATTTACAACACCAATTTCAAATATTAATGATGATGATAAAAACCTATTTGACATTTTTTCAAGAGCTTGGCGGCTTTTTTTAACTTTGCATTTTACTGTCTACACAGTCTACGGATCTGTGCGTGGAACCTATCAGCATAGGGGTAAGCCGGTAGAGTACAAAGGTGAAGTGTACTGATAAAAAGTAGTATCAGGTACCAGGATCCGAACTCACGACATCGCTGCCTATGGACATCGCAGTCTGCGGCGCTACCAACTGAGCCACTGACTCACAAACTTAAACGCTCTTAGAATTTTTCCTTCACTTTCATAATGTTTTCTCAGTAGCTTAATTTTTTTAAATGATAGTGTAACAAAAATAAAAATATTGACACAGTATTTTGTTTTAAGAAAATATAAAAATAATGGGACGGGCCATAGTGCAACTGATGACAAATTTATGGCAGAGATGTCATGGGTTCAAGTCCTGGTCTTCACCACTAAAGTTCACTCTTGAACTGTACCATCCCATCACTTGCTTTGCTCCTACATGTCTGAGGCCTATGTGGACGGGCAAATGCAAGGTTAAAAGAATAGCGAACCTTTTCATTAAATAATTCTACTTGTGTCATTACTACGATTGAGTTACTTACTCTGCCCCTGGGGAGATTATTATTGTTTGTGTGTTTATTCTCAGTTGCCTCATTTTCTTTCTCCTTGGAAGCAGGAGGGAAACGATCCGCTTCCTCAATAGTGGTTTGAACCCCCAAGTCTCCATCGTCCTCATAAGTACTCTTCAAACAAACACAGACCGTCAGCAAGACCTCGATTAAATGAGTGGGTAAACACCTACATTATTGGTAATCCTGTATGCATGTGCCCATAATATGGGTATTTAAACACCTTATTTACTATTTAGACTTAAAACATTTGATAGTATATTTTGATAGTCCGGAGGATACATGCTACAAAATCAAAACTTGATTATGTATTGAAACATTTCAAATGAATATCGCAAAGGAAAAGGTCTATTAAATTCTTCTCTTGAACGATGTAATCAAAATAACAAATACATTAGAACCGTACTAATTCAAACCTTGATAATTCGAAAAGCTCTATAATTAGAAATGACTGTCTGTTCCCCTCAGAAAACATCTAAAATTCAAAAATAATATACTGATAATTCAAATTAATTTTTAGCTTCATGCAGCCTCTACAATTCCAATTTGCACATACTCGAGCATCTACAATAAAAATTTTGCTGTCGTAATTCAAACTGTTACCAACAAAATTTGAAGTTAACCTCTACAATTCGAATTGCATTACCATAAGCTTCTGTAATTCAAATTCAGGACAAAAAATATGCCTGTTGATACATGAACTGACACTCTTATTGATGTTCTCACAATGTGTTCATTAGTCTCCGTTCTCTCAAACTCTCTACACTTAAAACTGGAACCTCCATGATTCAAATTTTATTCATTCTGACCTCTATAAGGGTGATTGGTACTCTGTGTGACAATTTTTTTTTTGTGTAAGTACAAAGTAAATGCAGTATGATGGTGCATATAACAGGTTCCAAGTCTAAAAATTGGCTTCCCAAAGAATTATTTTATGTTTTTAAAAAATAACTATGTTTTTAAACTTAATACAGCTATTTATCAATTACCTGTAAATGGATTTGAGTAGATAATGTAATTTTCGTGTTCTACATTAAATTTTGAATAAGAATAATATAAAATGATGGGGATCAGTTGTAAAAATGCCATTGTAAATAGATTCAAAGGTAAAAATTAAGATGTTTGATAAAAATTAAAAAAAAACATTGGTCTATTGTATTTGTTCACACCCTGTATACAAGAAAGTGTCGGAATATGTTAAAAACTGTGCCATTTTATAAGCTTTCCTTAGGGCGTCGCATGCACACCGAGGGCCTGATTGTAACACTGGACTACAAAATCATATTCAATTCCAGATTGTGAGGGTTGACTAGAAATCATATCAATGATTTGATTATGAGGTTTAACTGTGATACTATATGATTACCTGAGTTGACAGAGACCATTGCGTTCTGGTGGTCGCTCTGTCCATGACGGGAGGAGTGTGGCTGCCACTTTGGACCACTATGCTGGGAACTGAAAAACATAACAATATACTTTATCCCTTCAGACAATACAATGATTGCATAGCATGCGTCAACACATAAAAAAATAATAGAAAAGGGTACAAGAGACCAATATAAAGCATGAAATATGACCAAAAGTGTGTGTTTATTCCGTAAGGTCCTTGAACTCATCCACCGAGTAGAACACACAACACTAAGAATTGCTGTGATTTTGCTTTAAATTTTTAGTTTTACTATTTTCATACTGATACTTTTCGGGATCTTATTCAGGAGAACATTTCCAGCCTGGGACGGCATTCGTGGCTAACCTGTGCTGCACTGGCCTATACACGTCCCTGGATCTAGTGTTGTAATTGTGTACATCTCTGCCCTGTATTAGACATCCTTTAGATTTGCAAAAAATTCAGTCTCTAGGATGTACGGCCCAGCAAATGTGAGCAAGTTATAATCCCTATCTTTAGCTATCCCTAAGTTTAGCTATGATACAGATGGATTTTTTGTGAAGAATGAAGTTTGTTAAAATTTCTCTGGGAGCAATACCCCCATCCCCATAGAGAAACGCCGTATGAGAGGTGACACTGTATGAAACCACTATAAGCTATAATCAGCAAGTCTCACTGACCATCTCCATATATACATCTAACGCTTATAAGGAACACAAATGTTCGGCAAAACTGTAAGCCTGATAGCTACCAACCACATAATTGTCTTCATGAGAAGTTCTTAAATATTAGTTTTAAAATAAATAAAATAAGGAAATAAAAATTTCTTAATTAATTATTCAGCGTTTTCTGATATATAGCAGTTTTTCAGAACTACTATAATGTCAAAAAAGTACCAATAACTAAACATGTATATCTTTTAAGAACTTTTTAATTTGGTGTTTAAAGGTATTGCTGGATGCAACAGGTTTTAGGCTCTCGGGTAGTCTGTCGCTCAATGTGGGTCCAAAATAAGAAAAACGTCTTTCCCACCTAAGGTGACCCTGGAAATGGAAGACTCCCACGTTGGATAACGTCATTCCGAAAGAAAGCATTTTGCAAAGATAGTTAGTGGAGTTAGTTATAACCTCTCTTCTAAGGAAACGATTTTTAACTAATCGTTTTTAATCACATTTAAAATATTGAATGTGCACCAGCTATTAAGTTGGTTTTGATTTATGTTTGTTTGTTTACTTTTTGCCGAGTTAACCTTTTTAACTGTAAATTTAAAGAATTACACTATTCTCTTCTGTATCTTCACCCTGTTGAAAGCATGGGTAAAGCAAAAAGTTCACAGTAAATGTGACACACCTCTTCTATGTTCAACATCTTTGCAATTCTTTTAACACATTCTTCTGTCATGTAGAATGACATCCATTTTAGTAATTATTTGATTTTCCATCCAATTTTCAAGAATTTGAATTATATTAGATTACCAAGTTGATGTAGCGTGTTGATTTTGACCCTAGGGTGACACAAACATCTTACCTTATCAAGAACTTCAGACTACAACAACAAAGATAGTCCTAATTATAAGTTGTCAACTAGACACAGTGAAGAAATGTTTTGAGAAAAAAATAGCGCTCCAATTTTGTGTCATAAAAAGTGTTGCTTATAAATAAACTATACCTCGCCTGTGATATTTTATATCTGTTTATTTACTATAGTGACATTCGTCGAGCGGGGTTTAGGAGATCTCAAAACGCCACACTTCCATCTCTGCTGTTATGTCGAACTAGCGCTGTGTAAATTGAGTTAATTACTGAGTTTTTTCTACATTTAGGACTTTTAATCTCTCATGAAACTTGTTATATTAAATGTAATTAAAGTTTTTGGCACTTACAAGGCCTAAACATACAGAAAGGCCGTTACAGAAATCATCTCACTTGGCAGTTATTTATCTGAAGATGTTCGACGACCAAACCTATTCCTCATAAAGCAGTTAAATTCAGCAAGCGATGGAGCCACTTTTCGATATATATCTCACATGACTTGGATGTTTATGACAGTTGTGAGTTTAGAGTTTACTTCTAAAGCACTCTGGACAGCAGCGCATTTGTGCCACTGGGAATACTTGGGGGGGGGGGGGGCAATTTACATATTGCATATTGCCATTAGGAATTTGTCAAGTTAGGTTATAAGTGGCCCAAAAAAGTTTGTTTTAAATTCATAACACTAAATGCTTTTACAATTGCACCATTATTTGGGTATTCATAACTACTATTTGTTTGTCGCAACCGCAACAACAAAATGTCTCTGAGACCACGATGGAGTATCAAGACATATCTGTTGTTACGAGAGACGATGGTGATGTCTTCGCAACTGCAGGGAATGTCAGGATGGTGGCGGTAATGATGTCTTCCCAATCATTTCCCAGAGGCAAATCAGTTAAGAGGACTCATAAAATAACAATCAGTGAAATAACCATGTCAGCGGGCCAAAGATATGGTACATAAGGCAGATGCTGTATGAAAATGCATAGCTCTATTTAACCTGGAGATTACGACCTTTTCTGTCTTCCACTGACGGTTCAAACCTCCAATTGGCTTGACATTTCACTGGGTTTCTAAATATCTAACAATTTTCTCAGACTTACCTTAGTTATTTTCTCGCCTCAGAATTTTATAGAATATGTTCTTACTGTAATTAAAATGATTTATTTAGCAAAAAACATACAACTTTCTAAGATTTCATTGCCTCCAACAACCCTAAAGCTTCAATTGAGTTCCCAATTTTTCCTACACAAAACAAAAATAAGAATTCAGCCTCTACTAATATATAAATTGCTTTAGTTTACACAAAAGCTTGATTGTTAAGTTAAAGCTGGGTTGAGAATTGTGCACCAGTTTCAACTCAAACAATCAGGGCCACTTTTTCAAATGGGCCTGGTGAGCCTAGGTCCAGGGGCGCAAGGAGGGAAAAATTATGCCCTCAAGGTAAGGTGGTGAGGGGTGTAATCATCCCTTCGGCCCATAGCTAATCACATGTAAACCGCGGCTGTGTGCAAACAATATCTTACGTAGATAACACGTTCACTGAGTTGCTCGACTTGTCTCGATTGCGTAGGTTGGCTCCCGTGGTGGTTGGCTGGAGCGTAACTGCACGCATCAACTGCACAAACTCGAGGGAAAACTATACTGAACATTCCTCTCTTCATTTTGCAATGCCTTTTTCTGATTTTGGCTTGTTTTCATGGTTGTTGTTTTGTTGTTATAAAGTATAAGATTTCTTCCATCACTATTCTATTCACAGTCCGATTGGGCCCGATAATGATGGGTTGCAGTCTAAAGACAATAGATATTTTAGACATACAGGGTGTGGCAACAGTTCCTGTATTGGATAAATAGTTTAAAAATTAATGCAGATAGAACTACAAAACTTGACAAAAGATTACTGGGTATAAAAGTTATTTTTACACATTATCCAGTGATATGTTACCACCACACTAGCTAGGAGTCTCGGTTGGCTCACTAGGAGTCTGAAGAAAATCTTTAATGTAAGCATCGGTTGATATGCACATAAAATTAATTACTCAAACGTAAACCGAGTCAAAAATAGCAGCCCTTGAAAAATTTGTTGAAATTTCAATATGGAATCTTTGAAAAGCTCCCAGTTTTAAATCAGTTGTCCATTTGAGTTTTGGGTTTGTAGTATTGTATTCCACCAATTTGAATTTGAACTAATTTGACCTTTAATTTTAAGTGCATATCAACTTATACTAACATTTATGATTTTTTTTTACTTCTAGTAGGTCCCTGTGGGGAGGTATCATATCACTGAAATATATGTTAAAATGATATTTACATTCCTTGACATTGCTCATTAACTTTGCTCCAAGTTTTGTAGTTCCATCCCTATTATAATTTTATTTTATTTAGCTGTCCCAGGACTTTATTACCCCTATACCTACTGTCTCGTAAATTATAACGCTAGGTGTGACAAATAAATCAAATAGAGTTGGAGAATGCTTTTTATTTTATCCGTATAACAGAATCGACTAATAATGCTAATTAAGAAGTTATTTACGTGTTAGGTATTATAAAATAGTTTTACTTCAATTGAGAGGATTTTGACAATTCACCTATAAGAATTAGTTTTCGAACAGCATTACTTTGATTGAAATATAGTTTTGTAAGCATGGGCTGGTTTAAATCTTTTTATTAGTTTGAATTTCTTAACAGGGCATGGCCTAATTCAAATTTCCTGGAACACATACTCTACGTTTTCCTTGAATTTCCTTGATTTTCTCATTGAATGTTCCTCACATTCTTTTCCTGTCAAATCAGTTTCCCTAAATTCCCACGTCATTAAAACTCAATTTTACAACCAAAAATTGTCTTGCTCTACACATGGAGCTGTCGTTTTATTATCTACTAATTCTTTTTGCTTTGGTTTCTCCTTCTCTAAGCTCCAGTCTTGTTCAATAAACCTTCAATTTTAGACTGTATTCATCTAAGAAATAATATGGAATAAGTGTTGTATGTGGTAGAGTGGACTTGATTTTTTTATTTGTGTGACTCATAAAGGTTTATGTATAAGGTAAATCTAAGTTATCCACTAACACACAGCTTTGTAGGATCCAAAAACACCCTTAACATTGTACGGAAAAACTTTGCGAATGGAATGAATAAGAAATAAAAATATAAAAACAATTGGGTTTTACTATGCAAGAGGTTAAATACCTTGTATCAAATGTAGTCCTTGATTGGCAACCAATTTTGACACTCTTAAGGTATCATTATCAAGCCCTACATCTACATGTAAGGTTTTTGCATCTAGGAGGTCGTCAAAAAGTCTTCAAAAGACTTCAGTAACACACAAATGTAGACAAACATTAAAAAAAAAAACACTGCATGGCCATCGACCTCCCCGTGCCACTGTTCCAGCCGCAGGTGGTGCTGCCTGATGAGTCTGGCAGTCCAAAGTCCTAGAGTCTCCCTTTCCCAGCTCTCTTGCCATATCCGTTCTTATAGCGTCCTTACCGTTGTAGCCTTGCCTCGGGCGGATTGCCTTCCTCTCTGCTGCCAAG